CCCTGCAGAGTCCTGGGATGTCGTGCATTGCTTTCATTTTTTGTACATTTGCAAATCTTCTCGGATAAATGCACAATCTTTAAAACCCCAAACTGTTAGCAGAATGTGATGTGGCACTATGTGGTGCCTAAAAACCCAGGGAGCCATAAATATATTAATTACGGGCCTAGTAAATGAGGAAGGAGAAATCGTTATAAATGCGCTTTCCTTGGGGAATAAATTATGGCACAGTGAGACAACGTCCCTACAAAGTCACACCTCTGAAATAAGCATGGAGCTGCCAGATGAGGTTTGTGTGGTTTTTTATTGCTTTTTTTTTTTTTTTAGCTCATGTGCATTTGTAATTTTGTGCATGGACTGTGTTGTGATGCATTTTGGGACCAGTTTAAACAACAACTTCTCTTGTATTATTTCTGTGCTGAGGGATGGTCAGAGCTTCACTCTGAACCACATTTAAGGCAGAAATGATGCGGTGTGGGACGACCTGTCAAAGATGCTGGGTATCATCCTTTAAAGCTTTTGACACATCTTAAGCTAAACCTCAGTGAGACTTTCCTTCAGCAACACTTAGATATCCTGCTGATACACTGCACTTCTTTAGCTCTGACAGGCTGTGTGATTATGTAAATGTCTGTGGTTCAGTTGGCACACACTGCACCTTTGTGACACTCTGTGTGTGTATAGAATAGAAATAGTGAATACCACCAGATTTACAGGTGTACATAGAACCAGTTTATTGATTAAGATGGTGAATGCAGAAGGGGTTATGGAACCACTTGACCTCGTACTCCCTGCACTGGTTATCAATATCAGTGGCAAATATTGATCATTTTCAGGCAATTCAGCTTAATTGAAGAAAGCTTTTTTTTCCCTTTTTCCTGTGAATTGTCAGAGGAAAACATAAATGATGGGGGAGGAATTTCTTGAGGGGGAGTAATAACTGATTGGCAGGGGGAATGTGTGAAAAAACTGCACTTCCTGTATGTTCTTCAATCACTGTAATGGGATCAGTGGGTGGTTTAAAGTTATTACTTTGCAGATTTATTGTACCTGTGGCACCTAAGATTGAGGTTATATCAGCCTCTATATACTTTGTACAGTCATTATATATATATATA